ATTTTTTGACTCGTTCATGACAAAGTTCTCTGAATGAATACTGTGGAAACAAGTAATAACTTTTTTTCAACCCCAGACAGCTGCCATGCCCACCTTCAACAGATTTGTTTGAGTTTTAAATCCTACATGTACATGTATACATAACACGTGTATAGTAATTAGAAAGGGGTCATTTTACAATATAAACTAATAACAGTTATTTTGAAATTGGCATGCAGTTGTCATCACAGATTATATGAAATTGACTATAGTATGGTTGGCTGCTTTATGGACTACAGCACTCACAGTTGTTCCTTACCTAAATATGTTACAGTCAGAGATACAGTTTAAATTGTATTTAGGTCTTACTATTATATTTTAGTTAATTATGTATTAATTATGTTTTAAAATTTATAAATAAAATGTTTAAACACTTTTGACATGTATATCAAACTTTGTATCTGTTCTTAAAGGCTTATGATATTACAACCTGAAAGAAAATTTTGCAGAATGGTGGCACATTTCTCCCAAAGAAAGGGCAATAAAACAATAAAATTTAATTATAAATAGATGTATAATGTTACAAACTTAGAGCTACTTAGGATAAACGAATGTAGTTTCAAGTTACAATCTAAAGTGATTCTAGAAAGAAAAGAAGGTTAATTTAGGTTTATTTCAATTTATTTTTGGTGGTTACGAGGTCGGTCGAATTGGCCAATCCCGTTTTGAGAAAGGGTAGAGAAAATAACATATAAACTATAAGGATATAGTAAAAAAACTTTGAAATGTATTTAGGAGGTTTTAGGGATTACACAAAGCAAATTTGAGATTTTTGAAATGACGAAAAGTATTTTTAATTTTAACATGAAAATTACTTTGTACATGGACTATTCAAAACAAATACTCAATATATTCATGGACAATATTTTATTTTATCAAAAATACTTCATTAAGATATATGACTTTATATGTAAAAGACTGACAAATTTCATGAAGATATACCCAATATACATAGAGTTATAAGTATTAAATTTACATCAACTTTAAACAAGTACAAAAGGTCACGTGACTCGGTTAAATTGACCAACCCCGTGTTAAGAGATTTAAATTGTACTTAGGTCTCACTTTTAAATGTTAGTTAACTATGTATTTGTGCACTTTAAAAATCATATTTGAATGGTTTTACATTTTTTTTAAGTTTAACTTGTCAGCTGGATTGTGAAAAGTTATGAACAAGATGGCATTTATAAGTGCCACCTTGTTGCGGGAAAGTGTATCTGCAGGGAGTCTGCCAAAACAACTTCATAAAACCCCGTTGGCAACAGTTGATGTAATAATAGATGAAGAATTTAAAAGGAAAGTAAAAAATAAACTAAGTGAAAAGATAAAGACATGAAATTAGACACATAGAAAAATACAACTATTCTAGTGGATTTCTACGAAGAGTTCAAAGGTATGTACATACTTCCATTTGTTAATATTAAACATTTCATTGCATTATATGTTAATGATAATAGATAGTTACTGATACACTAAAGAAAATGAAAAATAAATAAACATTTACCTTAATTAAAAAACTTTTGGTATTCATTTATGAGGTTCTAAGAGATTATGCACATGAAACATGAAAACATAAGCGAGTGCAAATAACTAAATGAAATAACAAACCTTTATTAAAAAAGTAAAAATTAAATAGTTTACTCTTTCTGAAACTACATACTTTTAGGAACGCTTTTGTAAAATTTCAAACAATGTCACCCACTATTTAATTTTTGTAAGAAAATGTAATGATAGGAATGTTACCTTTGCTTTGAGAGTGTAGCCAAAGCCATATGGTTAAGAAAAGTCAACAGTCCGTATAGTAATGGAATCTCAGCCCCAATCTGTAAACATGGCAGACAAATGCCTTAAAACTTGATTAAGATAGACAAAACAGAAAATGTTTAGAAGACAGAGCACTTGGAATGTGTCAAAAAGCATCTTATACATTGATCTTGGTCATCCTCAGACCAGGTGAAAAGAACCACTATAGAGAAAAGAAACCTTCTGTTCAGAACTAGAAACTGGTTGAGTGATGGCAGGTCAGCAACTGGATGCCAGTTCCAGGTCTTCTTTGGGACCACAAAGAGACAAGAGTAATATCTAGGAATAAGGGTAAATATTCTCTCAATAGCAGTCTTGGCCAAGAGATCCGAGACTGCATTTTGAAAACATCGAAAATAATGGGGTTGGATGTGAGCAAACAGGAAAAGGAGAGAGAGGAAGAATAAAAGTGTAGAGATAGGCTGTGGGTGAGAACCTGAAGAACCCATCTGTCAGTTAAAAATGGACACCAAATGTTGGTGAAGCAAGAGAGGTGGGCAACACTCTTCCAGACCGAAGAGGATGGTCAATGATAAGATGAGTGACAACCCTGACCTCATCAAGTGGGAGGATGGGAAGGGGAGATGTGGATTGAGCAGGCACAGAAATAGAATCAGAAGGGCAAGGTTGAGAAAGACAAGACACCTGAGAAGACAATGAAGATTGATGCCAGACCGCCTTAGCCCTGGACTCCGGAGATAAGAGTGACACAGGCAAAGATTACTTATGAGAGTAACAAGTCCCAACAGCAGAGAAATCAAGTATGGAGGGATAGAGCAGCAGTAGTAGTGATGAAAAGAAGAGAATAAACCTCTTTAGAAAACTTTTCAGGAGCACAATGAAGTGCCTCAGAAATAAGAAGAAGGGAGGAGAGGTAACATAGCAGGGTGGTAAAAAAGAGAGGCATGAAAATTGGGCACTAGAAAGTGACGTAGAAAATAAGGAGTCCAAGCAGATAAAATCGATTTCAAAGATTGATAATTAGTGAATTCAATGAAAGAATAGCTATAAGCCAAGACAGGAGTCTAGTAGGTGAGGAGGACAAGGCATGTGAGAACAGGTGTTCAGTTGTTCAAGAAATAATATCAGAAGAAAGGAATACAAAATAAATTTAGGTATGGGTTTCATGTAGTAAAGCATGGAAGGAAATGAAAAATGCTGAAGAAAGAGAAAAACATACTTTTGAAAACATGTCAAGAAAGAGGTTAGAAGGGTGGGGATTTCCCTGCACTAATAAAGCAATACCTAAAGCAAACCCTGATGGGAGAAACAGCAAGTCAAAATCATCGCCACCCTGGTCATGCTCAAACTGAGGAGAAGGAGCATCAACTAAATGAATGGGAGGAAAAGACCCTGGAAGCCTAAGGAAACCCACTACTCTTTTAACGCAATTACTACTGGCTACTAACTTTCTTAGTAGCAAATGCAAGTCTTGCTATATGTCATTCCAAAAACAAAATTATTGGTTAAAAGTTTTGAAACTTCTCAAGTACTTTCATAAATGTACATAGTTTAAGAAACATAAAGCCTGTTACTTTTGATAAATTTAGTTTTTTTGCATTATGATCTTTAAAATCTTGGAAAATTACACGAGGAAATGGTATTTATAAGAAAT